TTTTTTTTTCTTTTTTTTGGTTCCGGGGATTGAACTCGGGACTTTGTACTTGTGACACAGGCAGTGGAACCACTGAGCTAAATCCCTGGCCCCAGGAAATACTTTTAATAGTTTCTTTTGATCTTAAACTAGTCTTACCATCTGCAGGGCCACAGCTCTGTCCAAGGAAGAAATGCAGAATCAGAGCTGCTGTGCTCTCAAACTCCATGCTTTCTCTGTGTCTTTGCTTTCTAAAAATTCCTTATTCCTGTATTTTATACCCTGACCCCTAAGAAGTTGGGGCTGAGGACTGTGAGCACAGCTGCATTTCCTTGCAAATTCCTGTCCTACCTTTGTAGAACAGTTAAGGCATGGACAGGTGAAGATAAGTTGCCCAGAGTCAGAGGCCCCTAAGGAACCATATATATGGATTCACCTTGGTCTTCAAGAGCCACTGTTGCAAGAAACTGTAGCCTGAACTAAAAAGGTGAGATACAAAGGTTAATTCAAAAGCCAATTCATAAATTCAAAGAAAAGTTTTAAAAAATACTCATTCTGAAAAAAGCAGGAAAAGGGCAATAGAGGGAGAGAAGGAAAGAAAAAGGCCAGACCAAACACACAGTAAAATAATAGCCCTGTGGGCCAGGGATTTAGCTCAGTGGCACCACGTCCACCTTGCAATCGTAGGACCTGAGTTCGATCCCCAGTACCACCCCCCCAAAAAAAACCAGCTCTGAGTCCAGTCTCAGTGACGACCTCAGATAAATGGCTGCGGTTAAGAGCTGGCAATCATCAGAGCAGACAGATCAGCACCAGTTTTGCTACTCACAGAGAGCTCTTTAAACAGGAGCTCACAAATGTGTGGAGAGTAAGCAGATGGAAAAAGACGCACAGGCTCTAACGTAAGCATAAGGAACCGGATCATTTGCATTAATGCAGATGAATAGGTCTTGAGACAGGCTTACCATGATGGTGAAGCAGTCAAGGAACTGCACCAGGAAGAGGTAAGAGTCATAAAAGTGTACTCCCTAATAGAGCTTCCAAAGCTAGGAAGCCAAAATGGACATTAAGTTAGAGAGAAATGGATTTGCCATAGTCAGAGTTG